CCATAAAAACTGCAAAATGGGAAACTGCAAATTTGCATGTATCTCCCCATGGACCCAACAAACCTTCCTGCCAAGTTTGGTGAAGATCCATCAATAGGGGACGAAGTAGTGGGAAAAAAACACGAAAACGCCCATAAAAAACGCAAAATGCAAACTGAAAATGTATATGTATCTGCTCATGACCCGATGAATCTCCATACCAAATTTGGTGAAGATCCATCTACAGAGGGTGAAGTAGTGGTGAAAACGCAAAAAAATCGCAAAATTTTAATGTATCTCTCCATAGACCCAATGAACCTCCATACCAAATTTGATGAAGATCCATTCACAGGGGGCGAAATAGTGGTAAAAAAAACGTCCATAAAAACTGCAAAACTGAAAATTTGTATGTACCCCGCAAGAACTAAATGAACCTCCATACTAATTTTGGTGAAGATCCATCCACACCCTGCGAAATAGTTACATGGACATACAACAGACAGTATTATTATATTTATATATATTTATGTATAGACAGCCTTGAATTTGGGTCCATGCTGTTTATAAAAAGTTCACCTAAGGACGAAAGACGGCAAATAGTTTTATATACTGTTCTACATAATGAACCATGACGTTAGAACCTAAATTTATTGGGAAATGACTTTTATAATACTTATAAAGTAAGAAAAACGAAAGAAAACGGAAAAGTTACTAACGAAGTCGCATTGTAATTTTAAAAAATACAACACATTTAAAACCATAATAGTGAATACTCATATTACATTTCAATATTAATAGGCACAACATAGATGTTTACATAGATAATTATTTTCAAGTACCATTTACATATAGACTAAAGAGAAAAAGAACATTATAATATACGTGTAGGTTTGTAAGTTATTTAACTATGTTTCTATATTGAAAGCTTCATCAGAAATTGATAATGAAGTAGAAAAATAACCTTAGGAATGTGGGATTACATCGAGCGCTCATGACCTACACTGATGATAATACTTTCATCCGGGCATTTACTTGGGTACTAAATAAGTGGAATAACCACCACCAGATGGCAGCAAAAGATAAGAAATGCTTACTTTCTGGTAGCAAATCAGAAAAATCGTTAAATATTATTTTTAGTTTGTCTACTGAATTTACGAAATATTTAGCGTGGGGAATACTAGACTCACTTGCTTATTGGTATGATTAACACTTACACTTAAAAGAAGCATACACTTAGATCGGGGATATAAAAGTGAAATGTGAATTATAACAATAAATATATAATCTAGAGGTAAAAACAACAACAACTATATATACAATTAACAGTTAATCTAAATTCACTATCTCTTTTCTCTTTTTTGGGTCTAATATCTCCAAGCGAATTGTGGTTTCCATTTAAAATATCATCTAGTTTAACTGCTTAGCTTTCGTTTTCATGATATTGTTGTTTCCTTAATGCAAAGCTACACAATGGGCTATCTGCACTCTGTCGACCGTAAGGACTCGAACGCCGAATTTTAGCACTGTAAGTGGGTAAACTTTTCGCTGATCCACCAGGGCATCTCTTGCTTTGCATATACATTTCAGCTAATAAAATAATATGTTTAAAACTAATTCCCAGGTGCATCATGTAGCAAGCCTATCAAAGCTGCTCTTTAAGTGTTATCACACTAATATGGAAATGTAAAGGGTTCAACATAATTTACTTATTAGATTATGTGGAAATTGGTCCATGCACTGTGAGCAAGAAAGAGGATTAAAATTGTCAGTCTATTGCATCAAATCTTTCTATTATATTTTTTTTTCCATGTGTATGTTTATAAATTTTTCGGATTTTCGAATTACATACTTCTAATTGTTCTTAAAAATTGATTCTTATAATCATTATTGATTGTCTTGAATATGAACATTATAAGTTAACATGAATGGCCCGGCATGGCCAGGTGGTTAGGGCGCTCGACTTGCAATCTGAGGGTCGCGG